CCTCAGCATCTTCGCCGCTACACTGCCAGGGAGCTCGACGACCAGCGACCCAAAAGGCAACCAAGGAAGCGGCTAAGACCTTTCAGATCCAGCCATCCAACCCACTCGGGACGAAAGGAACGACATCAGTAAAGGAGGGGTGGACTCGTGCAACCAAGGGGTGACCACCATCGAGGCATGGCGACCCGCTGGAGAAGGCAATCGACGATCTGATGGGCTAGGACTCTCGGTCTTCGAGTGCACTCGTCTCAGCCGCGAAGGTTGCCTCGTGTTCGGTCGTCGGTTGCTTCAATAGAAAAATAAAAAATAAAAATTGTGAGAGAGAGGGAGAAGGGAAAAGGGGATTTCATGAGATGCCTAAGGTATAAAGATTAAAAATACTATGAACAGAGTTATAGATAATAATTATAGATAATAATTATTTCGATATATAGTTTAGGGAGATGCTACGGTTTTGTTCTTCCGTCTGAATTTATAACCGTTATATCATTGTCATTTTGAAAATAATAATCATTGTCTATTGTATTTTTTTTAATGTGTTACTATTTTAAATATTTATTTTTCTAGTACACCGAGTACTCGTGGTGCTTTAAAACAAAGAAAGGGGTAATCGGAAAAATAGAAATGCAAAGTACAAAAGTACTAATTACTAATATAATTCATATATCTAACTAAAAAGTCAAGTGTTGTAATTCCTTTTTTTATACAAACATGTAACGATAATTTGTACTTTTAACAATTAATTGGAAAACATTTATTTAATCCATCGGCTATTGGAGTCTTTCGGGGCTTGGGGCTTCGTGTTCGCTAGGCTTTTGGCAGTGGTGAGTGGGGTTTCTATGCTTTGAACTCTCCAATGAAAGACTTTGTTCGATGGCTATCTTGGAGGTCTCTGCTGAGGGAGAAATGTCTATTAATAATATTTTGTTTTGGTTGTTCAGTAGTTTGTCTATTTTATTTTTCTGTTAGTCGTGTTTTTGGTTTGGGTATTTGGCCCCAGTTTACATTCCTCTGTTGGGGGTTTGTGATTGTATTGTTTAGGATATGTTCTTGGTTTGGGCCGTTGGCCCCAGTATCATTACCCTGTTGGGATCGATATCATTACCCTTTTGGGTGTCGGTTTCTTTTCTCCCTTTGGGAGCTTAGCTAGTAGTTTGTCTGTGTAGTTGGTTCTTGTGTTGGTGTTTGAATCGTTTTCATTCTAGCCTTGCTAGCGATTCTAGGCGGACCTCGATCTAGCCTCCCAATTTGTATTTTCGCACATTTGTGCGCTTATCTATAGTACTTCTATCATTTCGAAAAAAAAAATCCATCGTACCTTAAAATATTAATTTCAATTTCAAAAAATATAGTTTATTTGTTCAGCTAAGCCAAAAATAATAATCTCTCTATATATATAGTTCCAGAATGCGTTGAAGTGGCACGCTCGCGCGCTTCTGAATTTTACTTGTCGAAGAATCATGCTTCGTAATTTATTTTGGACAATTAATAATGTTATTATAAATCAATAACTATAGGTTCGAATGTTCTATAAATATTGAAAAACTAACTTTGGTAATTCTATACTACTTTGACTATTATAAACCTTAATTTGTTTTGTAAATTTACTAGCTTATTGTTTATATGACTAATATAGCCCTAAAATTTATTTTGGAATCTCTCACGTTTCATGACTTAAATTATAATAAATTTACTTGCTTGAATTATAAATATATTTTCATGGAAAAAAAAATTGAAAATTAATAAATATTTTATTTATCGACAAGATTTTAAATATAATATATTCAATTAATCATATGTTTTGATGAGATTCTATTTGACAACTATATAATGCATACAAAATAAATAAATAATTTTTTTGTACTTATAATTAAAATTAAATTACATATTATTAATAATTCTAAAAAATAAAGTTATTTAAACTAACTTAGCTACAAAATAGTTTATCTCATATAAATTTAAAAAAATAATATAATACTAGATGGTAAGTCGTGTAATTGACGGTGTTATTTTAATTATAAATAACAATATATTTTTTTTCTAGAAAAGTATTTAAAAATCAAAATAAATTTGTTGTTATTATTATTATTTAATTTTTATTTTAAATAAATCTGAACAAGTGTCTGTGCAGCACACGAGTATTGTAATAATAATAATAATAATAATAATAATAATAATAATAATAATAATAATAATAATAATAATAATAATAATAATAATAATAATAAAAAGTGAGAAGGAAAATGAGGAATTGTTCATGAAAGAAAGCAAAAAGAATAGGAAAAACATGGGGAGAAAAGGCAAATATTAGAACCTTATGCAATTTCCAAGCCAAATTACCTCCGACCAATCTAGAGAAGGAGCTCATTCCACACCACTAATTTGTTTCTAATAGAACATAGTAAATGAACACTTTTATTTAGCTAATATTACCAAAAAGTTCATTAAATATGGAAAAAAACATTAAATTAATCTAACTTTATTTTACTAAATTTAAAATAGTTGAATTTTAACAAAGTCAAACCCCCCTACAATTACTCAATTTCCTTTTTTTCAAAATTCAAACATAATAACAATTTTTCTGATTTTTTTTTTTACTTCTGTTTTTTTGTTCAGGAAATTAATAAGGGTCCTTTTTTGACCAAGCAATTTCGGGCCACGTTGGCTCCGATAAAGTAATTTTTTTTTTAATTAAAAAAAA